AGTGCAGCAGTGAGAGAGACACTGCACAGTCACTGCCTGCTCTCCCAGTGCAGCAATGAGACACTGCATAGTCACTCTCTGCTGCCCCTTTTCCTTTTATTAAGGCTATGTAAAGTATTCAGTGTGCGTGTTATTTGTTAAAATAATAGAGTAGCAGAATATAGTCATGCATTATTTAAGATGTTTCATTTAGAGTATTCTCTTATTTTTTTTTTGTTTGTTTGTTTTTGTTTTGTTTGTTATGAGATAAGGTCTCATTCTGTATTACCACTTGGCCTGGAATTCACTGTATAGAGTAGATGGCCTTCAAATTTGCAGCAGTCTTCTTGCCACTCCTGAATGCTGGGCTACCAGTGTGAACTCCATCAACTTAGAATATTCTCTTAAATGCTTGAAACCTAGCCTGTCTTGCTTATTGTATTCAACCCATGAAAGAAGCAAAACAATCACTTTTTAAGAAATCTCTTAAAGTCTCTGGTTTGGACTAAAGCACCAAGAGCATGATCACTGTGTCCACCCTTGGTCTCAATGTCTTCATAGGAGGAACTCAGTCAAGAAATAAAAACCCCAAACGCTTTTCCAAACAGGCTATTTCTGCTCACACTCCCAGACAGCCAGGATCATATCAAGGGCAGGATAAAGAAGGAGGCAAACTGAAAAAAGCAGTATGCTTAAGAAAGGAAGTTATTAGTAACAACACTCAATACTGTTTTCTCATGCTTCTGTCTACATCCTAGCTGTCTTCTTCCTTTTTATATACTCACTGCACTTTGAATACCTACACAGACGACCTACTCTTACACTATACTACTCTCCGTAGTCCTCAGAGGAAGAAGGACGACGGGAGGTAAGGGCCGAGACACTAGGATCCCAACAGTCTGACGCCCACCTTTGTTTTCACTGAGAGCTTTCTTGGGAGGCATTTCTGGAAGAGTTACTCCCTTGAGAAGTACTAGCTATATACGTTATTGTTGCTCTTGGGGAGGGTAGTTTTGTAGTTCTTAGCATTTATTTGGTTCATCTGTTAGTAAAGGAGGAGGTGTCTGCAGATACGCAGAACAGCTCATGGTGGAATTGGAACTAGTAAGTTGACTGGTTTACAACAGAAGTGACAGCCATTCAAAATAAAAGTTCTGAATCTTCGTGGTGGGGTAACTCTGAAGTCAAGAGGTTGAAACTCCAAGAAAACTTTTAAAATTGCTTTTGTTAAGATTGGATAAAAAGTAAAGCTGTGAATGCTGAGAATATGCAGTCCCCACAAAGCCAAAATACTTTCTGCATGTGTTTTAGTTTGGATTTTTCATAAAGGGTCTTGTTAGGTGGTCTAAGCTCTCCTAGAACTGGCAGTGCCGTGTCTCCTGAGTACTGGGATTCTAGGCATGTGTCACCAGCATGAACAGCAAATAAATAGCTTTAGTTCCATCATCTGAATATACAGTAGAATGTTCATAAAGAAAAAGGAAAAGGGACTGGGGGATGGCTCATTGGAAGACTTGAGTTAGAGCCCCAGACCAATAAAGTAGCTGGTCACAGTTGATGGGGTTTGTAATCGTAGGGCAGAGATGACCTAACCCGCAAGCTCCAGAACTGTGAGAGACCCTGCCTCAAACACTAAGGTGGATGATTCGTCCTAGGTTGACCTCTGGCCTACACTTACACATACCCTAAAAAAGGGGTGGGGGTTGCAGTAAAGTAGACATTCGTACATCATCCCCATGTAACTTTCTTAGGACAACCTAGGTTTTAAAGTGGCTACGACCAGCCCGGTTTCTTAGAATATTAAAGACAAAAGACTTATAGTATAGGATATATTGCTTAAAATGAATTAAACATAGCACTTGAGGCAATTTACAGCACTACCTTTTTTCAACAAATTTAGATTATAACAGGAAAAGCCCTTTGACAGAAGTCAAGAAGATGTGTTTTCTGCTAAATGACCCCTTTTGAGGATTAAATTATATAGTCCGTCCAAGCTGTAAATAGATTATGATATAAAGTGACCAACATTTTGGAGATAATTCCCTCTTCTGCCTTTTTCTGTTATGTAAAAACTGTATAGGGCCTGGAGAAATGGGTCAGCGGTTCAGAGCACTTGCTGCCCTTGCAGAGGATTTGAGTTTGATTCCCAGCACCCACATCAGGTGGCTTAAAACCATCTGTAACTCTAGCCTCAGGAGATCCCCAAGGGCTTTCTGGTCTCTGTGGGTACCAACACCTACACACACACACACACACACACACACACACACACACCACAAATCTTGAAAAGAAAGAAAGAATGTGCAGTTGTGAAACAATACTTAAGGATTATTCTTATAGTTTCAGTGATTTACTCTGTCAAACTTCTATAAATGTAGTGAGATCTCTTAACTGGAATTTGCATTTGCTTCCTTAGCCATACCCTGCAAATGAGAGCTCCAAACTTGTCTCTGAAAAGGTTGGTGACTATGCACACGCAGCAGAGTACATGAAGAACAGTCAAGTGAGGTT